ATTACAGAAAATGTTTTACAAAAACGACTTTTTGTGATTTAAAACTTATCTATCTTCAATATAGTTTTATGACACAAGGCTGGGAAGTAAGTCTTTTTGTGCTGAGTTCAAGGTTGAGTGAAGCACAAGACTCTTCGCGGAAACATAGAATATAATATTATATTTTTAAGAAACAATTTTATTTCTCAAGTGATAAAACCCAATTTAATCGCTTATTTGAGAAACCCCATATGTCCATAAATTTGACATTTTGGCTTTTTAGATTAACATGTTGTAATGGACGCATCTTTTTAAGAGAAATCCCATATCCAACCCATATAATGCTTTTAGCGCTAGTTATTTTGAGGTACTTGTCTTTAAAGATGTTCAAGTGGTTTTAAATAAAACAGTTTTTTCAGCTTTTCTCAAAATATTGAGTTTTGAAGATGTGGGGTTTCTCAAACAAGCGATTTAATCATAATAATTATTATTAGAAGTAGAAAGTAACATTAAATATATTATTTTCGAATTTTTTTATTGGTTTAAACTTTAAACGGTTTTTTTTAGCGTAGGGGTAAAAAACGTTACCCGTAAAATTATTTTTAGAGCCAAGGCGATAATCAATTACAGTAGTGAGTGCTAACAATAATAAAGTTTATCTTCTAACATAATATAATATTAATATTATAAGCCTCAACGCAGCCCTTTCCTCATCTCTAGACCCGAGATCGTGTCTACTAGACACTGTCTAGACTCGTATAACGCGTTCTTACACTTATAGTGCTACCACGCTATGATTGTTCAAATTCATAAAATAAATATTCTACACATGATCTACCAGATCCAAGTACAAAAAGAGTGTTAATAGCGTGTAGCACCTCAGCCTAAATTAAGTCCTGTGATAAAAGTATGCAAGTAACGTGACTGGATACAACAAAGAACTTTCAGGAGTACACAGAAACTTCACATGCCAATAGTGGGCAGTCGAGGTTAAGGAATAACTTTACCACACCTGCTAATACCTGGTATCATGCTAAGTAAAATTAACAAAATTGCATGACCTTAATAATACCCAAATACAAAAATTTAATGCGAAATTCGCAATTTTAAGTAATTAACAAAAAATTCCTTTAGGTAAAATTAATTAGTCGACAACATTTCCCATAAAAACAGCATCAAAGCCAATGAAATCATAAAGAATGTTAACATAAACATTAATAAATCAATTAAGTTTAGACAAACATTAGGCAAAAGAAATAAACATCTGAAGATAACAAGGCACACGTAAGAGGACCATAAATGAGATAACCAACCGTAGGTGACGTAACACAGGTAACGCTGTGCATTAGAGATGGAAAAGTAACGAAAAAAACAATACCCGCATGTATTCGGTACTTTGTGACTATTCGTTACAAAGTAGTCGTTATTCGTTACTTTCGTTACTATAATACTCTGTGCTATAATTCAAAATACGAGTCTTTGCATTAAGCTGGTTAGGGTTTGGTTTAATTATTATTTCGAATCGTATGTAGCCGCTGCCTAAAGAAAACATACATTTGGATTATATTTTATTAAATTGCAGGATGTATAATAATTATTAATACAATTTAAATAAAAAAAATATTTTTTTATTGCAAAAATAAGCCATTACACATACATATTTTTTTGACTAAGCCTACAAGTTCAGGATATAATATCTTTTTTATTTGCCTCCATTTAAGAGGATTATCTTTTCTGTAAAGAATCCTCTCTTCAATGTACTGTCTCATGGTGATGATTCCAGTAGCAACGGTAGACACTGTAATAGTGCTGGTTCTTACGTCAAAATCCCTTCAAAGATCGTCTTTCTCATCTCCAAACGCAGCATTATGTGTATTTTTATCATCCTTATTATGATTTTCCAGTGCTACTGAATAGTGGTGCCCTTGTAATTTGTTCTAACTCTTTCTTTAAATAATTTTTGGCTTCTTCATAAGAATAATATAATATTTTCTTTGATAATATTACTATTATTTAAGTATTCGCGGGGCCACTACTCATCGAGTGACGTCATGCGCGGCACGAACCAAAACTCGTCCACGTGAGCATGCAGCCCTGCAGGCCGTTACTAACGAAACGATGCGAGTAACGAAACGTATTTTAAAGTAACGAATCCGTATTTCAAACATCATCCAGTACCCGTAACTTTGTACCGAATACATACGGTTCGTCAAATCTCCACTGTGCAGTAGCGGGATACGTAAGAGAACTGAAAGGGGGGAAATAATCCTGGGAGATCAGTGTAACGCGCTGCCGATGGGGCCTACCATACGTTCCTTATTCTCATACGCAGCCCTTAAAAGTTATTCATTATGGTATAAGCACAATAATAATTTTATTTTCCTAGTACATTAATGAGTTAAATGAGCGTAGACAATAAATTGATAATTTTTTTAACCCATTTTATTCATATTATCTCCGCCTAGAAACCATCTGTCATAGACATAGTCATTCATATTAAGGTAATGGTTTTTAGTTTTTGTCATAAGATAAAAACGTTATAAGGAGGTCTTTTTGTGCTTGGCTCAATTGGTTTGCCTCGGCTGCAATCTTTTGAGCTCAGCACAAAAATACTGATTTCTCCTCCTAATGACATAATCTACTATTCAGGCCGATTCACTAACTTAGTTGCTAAGAGAGTCCTTAAATCAACGACTTTAATTAACAACAAATTTTAACAACTTCGATAGACACATTTTTTTTGGTATTCTCTAAATTTCACCTAAAGATGATCGTTATTTAAATGTAGATAGCAACCAGTCATCGCTGTAGCTTGAGATATATGTAGATTGGTAGATAAGTTTATATATAAGAAATAAAACTTTATTTATTAAAAATTCTGGTAAATATGCAATTATTTTTATGTATTCTTTATCTTAAAAACAACTCGATTCAAGCTTTGGCAACGTTGCGAGATATAAAATTCTAAAATTCAAATTAGGTATCTGAAAATAAGCAATTATGGACAACAAAGAAGGTCGAACGAACAATTTAGACAAATGATTGACTACATAGCGGAGAATTAAAGAAATACCTAAATAAAAACTACAACATTAAGTTTGATGGGTTATGAAAAGGGCTGTTGCGTATTCTGGTAAGGATCCTAAAGCTGACATCTCCCCCACTTGAATGTTGTTTATTGTAGAGTTTTGAGCATTAAAAATTGACCAACCATATTTTAAAATGGGTCTGCAAATGGTTTTAATATAATATATGTTTCAGGTTTACTTTGTTGTTCAGTAGGATGTCAAGGTTTTAAACTGTTGTTTTGAAGGACTGCAGTGTTGTTAAGAATTAGTTTTAAGAAGTTGGACTTGGGAGTGTGATTAAAATAAATTGTGATTTTATTGGGTTGATCTTTAGTCTCCAGATGGGGCATCATTTTTTCAATACCTGTTAAAATTGACAAGTTGCTTTTTTGATGTATTTTCATGGGTTATAGCAGTATCATCTGCGAATTGAAAAATGTAACTTTGAAAGTCTATAGCAGCCAGGTTGACGATGTCTGAGCAGTATACATTAAAAATTTAGGGGAAAGGGAGAACCTTGCTATAAATGTTTTTGAGGTTTTTTGTTTAATTTTGATTACCTATGATCTTTTTCGCAAAAAGCTATTAATTATGTTTATAAGATTGTTTGTGCAGTTTAAATGCAAGTCCTTTCTACCATAAGCTGCCAAACACTTTTTTAATATCTAAAAATAACCCTGCTGATTTTGTCCATTATGATTGTTAGAGGATGTGTTGTGGAGGTGTTAGTTTTGAATCCAAATTAAAATTTGAAAATATCTTTACCTGTAGCATTGTCGATTTTGTTTTTAATATTTTTTTTCTAAATTTTTATCAAAACTAGCAAGAGTAATAGATCTGTAGTTCTTGAGTTTACTGTGGTCAGAGTTAGTTTATAGAATTGTAATTATTACTTCGTTTTCCATTCCTAATTATTATATGCATGATTAAGACAAAAATTTTAAATTTTTATTATGTGTTCATAAATTTTGTAGTCCAAGTTTTTACTACTTCATCATGAAATTTTCATGTATAATTTTGTATTTACCTGGAGCAGTGTTTTTGTTAATATGTTTATTCATGGACCATTATTTTAAATATCTTTTTACTTTATTCATATCTTTTTTAAAATTTAGATTTCGATTTTCAGATATTTCCTGTAAATGTTTCTCTTTACTGCAACACAAATGCTCACTACATATTTTATTAGGTAGGCCAGGTTCAAACAAAACAGTGAATACGAAACAAATGCTCAACAATTGCACCAATTTTCAGTGATAAAGAAAAAACTTGCTTACTTTGGCGTGAACTATCATATCCCCAAGAAATGACAACATATTCTAAATGCTAAATCAACTATATTTGGATAACGTTTATTGACAAGGAACCAAGTGCCAAAAACTTTTTCTGGGGTAAACAAAATTATTTGCAAAATAACTCATTTTTAATGCTGCACAAAAAATTATAATACTAATTATAAGCTAAGGTTGACTGAACCGTAAACCGACACAGTTTACTAAACCCTGGACCGTAATCGCTTCAGTGAACCTGTAAAGAGAAACTAACAACATAATTTAGTTTGTTAGTTTCTCTTTACTTAATCACTAAAGCGATTACGGTTCAGTGTTTAGTAAACTGTGTCGGTTTACGGTTCAGTCAACCTTAGCTTATAATTAGTATCATAATTTTTTGAGCAGCATTCTTCGCTTGATAGCTCAAATTTTGAGTTCAGCATAAAAAGACTCACTTTTCAGCCTAATGACATAAATTACTATTATTTATTTTTGATTTGTCTTAAATAAAATCCTACACTGAATGTCACGCAAATTTAGAATGTGTCCCGCAATTTTTAATGTTTTGTCACGGTAAAACTAAATTTGAAGTTGGCAACCCTATAAAAGGAGTTTTAAATATATGCTTTAAACGTCGGAGTCTTCAAAACTTAAATATCGAAAAATTCCAACTTTTACTTACTTTAGTTTGCCACTCTCGACCCGATTCTTTTCGTTCTTTGGCCTCTTCGCGTTGCTTTTGTTCCAGCGTCTGCTTCGCGTTCGTCGCTCGGTCGATTTCGTTAAACTTCAAGCCGGCCGTGACTTCCTTCCATAGTCGCCTGCTCTCGTTCTCTTCCTGTCGGCTGATTGGATGCACCATTTTCTTGGTGATCTCCAGTTCGTTTACGTCGATGAACGGCTCAAAGGAATCCTGGAATTAGCATAAAAACCTACTGAAAAATGTTAAAATACTATTTCTTTGTTTGAAGGTTGGAGACAATGATAATATTTGAATAAAACAAATTTTGGACCATTGCCTTTGTTTTTATAATCACAACGTTTTAACTGGTTAGTATTTCCACTCCACTGGAGATACTTGAAACGTTGTGAATAAAGAAAAACAGTCGAGTGCCACTCAGTCCTGCTACTTAAAAATATAATTTTAAAGAATAAAAAGATTTGTTGTCCTTTATTACTTAATATTAAAGATACTGCATTTTTGCTTAGCAGGTCAGCATTATACTCATGAAGGATGTCTTGGCTGGTACCAGTTTAGTTTGAGAAATATTAAAATTTTAGAAATTAAAAATTTTTTCCCACCTTAACCCTTTCATTTAATACCCATATCAAGGAGGTTGTAAAGAAATAGGCAATCAATCTTACGCCATATTGGATTGATTTATTTTCACCTCTCTCTTACTTATGTCACTAATTTATTAAGCCACGAACATACATGCAAATATGATTCCCTCTACATCACGTTCACGCGTCCTCACTCACTAATATCGCGCATACACTGACGCGTCGTCCCATTTACATGACTAGGAATTTTAGTATTATTACTTATTTGTCTAAGCTAATCAGGTGCAATTTAATAAAATTTCTTTTAGAGAACATGAATTCTTTTGAGACTGATTTTATTTTACCTATTTTACCTAAATTTTAATTTTTAAGAGAAATTGACCTAATTTTTCACGAATGTATCGACACCTCTTAAAACATACAAGCCAAAACCAACAAATCATTTCTCATAAAGTGCAAATAAACTATAGTGTAACAACAACATTGAGTAAAGACTACCCTAAGGCCAAGGAAGTGTTAAGTGATATGTGACAGCTTAACGAGCGGTCTAACCAACTGTCAATTGAACGCCCTTCACGAGACAAACAATTGAGGATAACCAAGGGAGGAAAGGCCATCTGCAAAATCCGATAAGTAACGTTAACCATCTGCATGACCTAACACATAATTGCAACCCTAACCACGACAGGTACCTTTAAAAACCCTTTTCGCTTTATCACTAAAACAAAAAAATAAATAAAATGCATTTTCTAGCCTAACATGAAAAAATGTCCAAGTAAACATTATTTACAAACAGAACGGTTTTTTCATTTAGGAAATCGAGTGATAACTTTTTCGAAAAATGATTTAAAACGTGCTCAAATGTGCATAAACTCTGGCGGCGGCCACATGGCCCATATTATTTTCTCGACAACAAGAAAAAATTTAAAGGTCCAACTAAATATTATTTACAAATAGAGCCAATTTTTTTTTCATTTACAAAAAAAAAATGTTTTGGGTGATAACTTTTGCGCCATCTTGTACTATTTCTTCTTACCTTATCACTGTATTTAGCCTCCATCACGCCGTTCCACTCGCCTTGTATGTTCAAAAACGCTTTTTTCTCATCGGGCGCAAACACCTCGGCGGTGACCTTATTCTTCTTGTTCCCATAGAACGGCTTAGTCAAAAACTCGATGTTGCAATAGTAGCCGGTTTTGGGGCAGGTTATCGTAACGGATCCGCCCAATTCAATCCACGGGACGGTCAAAATCGATCGGCCGTAACCGTTCGGAAACGTTACAATGTACTCTTCGTCGTGATCCAAGACGCTGACGACGCCCTGACCTATGTTGTACACGCAAACGGACAGCCCGAGGAACTTTGACTTGGTGTAGACATGCGCGTTAAAGCTGATCCGCTTTTCATAGTGTTCGGCGTAGAAGGCGGATACTAACGCGAAAATGTCGATTATTAAAACACAATCCACACAACAAGGTCTGTTCTATCTCGTTTCACATTTTTATGTTGTCTACAATTCGTGTGCGATGGGTTGTTGCTGTTTATGCAAATTAAACGTTGTGAACCTTACAGAGGCACTTTTAAGCCTCAAATGAGGCCTTAAAGTGCTATAGTCGCGGCCAAATCTGCATGAGTGCACGTCATCAACGGCATATGACGTCAGCGTTAAGGTCTATTCATACGTGCCCAGGCACAATCTAACGCTTGTGTATTGTTGACTGTTTATAGCGGTGGGGGCTGTTTATTAAGCTGCACCATTGTTATAATCTTCTACACTAACTAATTAGGGGGTTTGTTACGGGCAAATTTTAATTAAATGTATTTAGAGAGGAAACAAATGGAGTTAATTACATTTTTATTAAATATGTACTATGCTCCACACCTCAAAGTTCCACCACGTGACCACGTACGGAACGCAGTCTTTTGAAAATTTGGCATTTAAGGCTTTTCACGTTATGTATCTGTCAAAGTATAGTCAACGAAAGAAATAATATTATGTTTAGGTGTTAAAAATGTATAAATCTTTATAACATTAGAATAACAATGGATGGTTTAAGAATTTAAGAATATAAATACTGCATTTAATGAAATTCTAAAGTGTATGGTGCCAAATAAGTAATATTTTTGTGCAGTTGGTCCAAATATCTGGTTTTCTCCATAAAATAATTTTAACTAAACAGCATTTATTTAAAAAAATCTAGCTTCTCTATTATGGAATAAGAATATCTGTATTAAGTAAGGTAGGTTAATATATTATAACAAAAATATCATCTAATTTTGTAATTTTAAGGTTAGAAAAATTTATTTTGACCAAAATAAATAAGTATTTTGGATTATTTAAAAGACCGTATAATATGGTATTTTAAAACGTGGTAGTTTTTCTTATCCAGCTTAAAGTGTCCTACATAAAGTTTTGTCAATACAAATAGTTAAAAACCTTCGACTGAATTTAATCTACATCAAAAAATCATTATAAAATTTTAATAAATCACATGTCATGGGAGTATTAAATATTTTCACATAGCAAGTTTCTCTAAAAATTGTTTGTTTTATTATAATCTAACTTAAAGTAAGTATGCCGAGAGGTATGCGCAAGTTTTGTCGTTAGAAGTATAAAAGCTTCAATTTAATTTGAACTATATTCAACAATTATTTAGTATACCTATATTTATTTATGACCATATTAACACACTCTTTCAAATAATCCACTTATTTATTTTGGTCAAAATAGATTTTTCCAACCTTAAAATACAAACTTAGATGATATTTTTTGTTCTACTACATTAACCTACATTTGATACAGATATTCTTATTTCATAATAGATTTTTTTAAATAAATGCTGTTTAGTTAAAACTATTTTATGGAGAATTGTAGACCCAATGCACAAAAATATCAAAGACTGCGTTCCGTACGTGGTCACGTGGTGGGACTTTGAGGTGTGGAGCATAGTACATATCAAAAAATACTAAATTACCAGAAACGCAAAAACACTAAATTACCAGTCGTCTTTGTCGTCAGATTATTTCCCTAAATTTATAATTAAGGGCGCAACGTCTCCGCAATATAATAACTGTTGGGGTTGCCAACAAGCCTTGTAACATTGTTTGCACAATCCAGTGGTAGAATATGATAAACACAATGTTTAAAATTATTTATAATAATCTGCAACAAACGATGCTTATGGACGAAATGTCAACATTACAAAAGTCAAATATAAAATGACGGTGACCCATCAATAATATAGTCTTAAGCTATTAGCAACTGGCACACACAAAAATTAATATAGTTGTTGCGGCGAATGTTTCAAATTGCGTCATCAAAATCTGAACCAAGCACAGACATTACAATTATTGTTGTTTTCTTTTACGTATATAATCCAAGGAACCGCTAGGTTAACCGTTTACGACTATATTCGTGGCGGCGAATGTTTCAAATTGAGTCATCAATGTCAAATGTCAAAAACCGATTTCTCGACATACGGTTAACCTAGCGGTTCCTTGGATTATATACCGTACCTTCATTTGCAAGTTATACATAGGGAAAATACATTGTAGGTGGAACAGACAAGTCGAAGTCAGCGCGAAACGAATATATTGTTTACCAAGAATTGTAACAATTGCCCTGTTTTAAAACGTTTTTTGCGTATACGCAAAGGATTGATATTTTTTTATAACACACAGAATTACGCCTTAAAAAAGAAAATTTAACCGCAGTAACTTTACAATTCAAAGTTGGTTGATGCTGACGTCATTATATCGCATTAATGACGTGCACCCATACAGATTACAGACTATAAGAACAACCATTATTCTCTTTTGTAAAAAATATCAGGTCTGTCATAAAAATATCAAATTTCAATTTAAAGGTTATCCCTGCTTAAAATGCCCCATATAGACCTATATAAAATAATCTATCGGGCTCTACCGGACTCAATATGTGCATTTGTCCATGTTTTTTTCCGGATACGGCCCGATAGAAATGTATAGGAAATTACCTATGGACACACCATAACTTTTACATTTTCCCTATTGAGACCGATAGCAAATAACTCAATGAAGGATATCCCTATAGAACAACCATAAAACATTTGACAAAATTTTATTAAAACCTATGGGATCCTATGGGGAAAAAACTAAATTCTACATTTATATGTATTTTCCCCATTGAAACCAATAGCAAATAAATCAAGGGTGGATATCCCTATAGAACAACCATAAATCCCAACTATGGGTCCTATACAAACCGATAGACCCTATAGAAACACCATACATTCTGATACAAATATCTATCGGTTTGAACAGGGTATCTATGGGGTATTTTAAGCAGGGATAGTAAATTATCCTTAAAATTGAAATTTGATAGTTTGATGACAGCCCTGATAAAATAAGGTTTATTTTTACCAACAAAGGAATAAAATGGTTGTTCTTAGCACTTTAAGGCCTCATTTAAGGCTTACAAGTGCCTCTGTAAGAAACACAACGTTTAAAATGATTATTAATCTGTATACATATTATAAACAACATATACTGTCCGTTCAGGCTAAGTTGAGCGGTCTAAGGAATGTCATCCCGTCCATCATCTCTATGTTTAGGCACAATTAAATACATGTATTTCGGTAGCCGCTCTGTACCAACAAACCGCAAGCCCCGGCACTAATAAATCATCTTATTGGTACCGAAATCTTGCGAGGATTCGAAATTTAATTTAATCAACGGTCACCAAAGCGCTCAACTTAGCCTGAACGGACTGTAAATGGCCGCTGTTAGATTCTGTGCAGTGTTGCAGTGCTTTTTAGTATGCGCGAAAGGAGATATATCAGACCTTGTTGTGTGGATTGTGATTTATAATTATGTTTGACAAAAATCACCACATGAACATGCTATACTTAGGGACATTGTTTACTTACTGGGTGGATGGTGGGAGACCTGTTCGGCGATGAAGGTGAGCTGGTTACGTTTGCACCAAGGTACAGGACCGTCGTCGACGGATTCCTCGCAATTTTCCGGGGCCACGTTCCAGTGACACCGAAACACTTCTCCCAATATGGGATTGTAGGGTTTTTTGGCAACCGCGCTTTTTCTGCCAGCATGGTAGGACGACAGGTACCATTTTACCACCTGAACCATGCGATCTCTGGGTTCTTTTAAATCTGTTATACTAGAAAACATAGATATAAAAATCAAAATGTTAACATTTTTTAGTCAATAAATAAACTATATTCAGCGATTGACTTATGTAATGGGTTTAAACCGTATAAAATTTGTTTTAGATTATAAATTGCAATTAGACAATCTTTTGAATTTTTTAAATCTAAAACGTATTTTGCCATTCTAATGTATGTTCTTAACATTCTAAAATGTATTTGTTAATTTCTCAAATTTTTCAAACTCATTCTAAAATGTTTTTAACATTTCCAATCTTTTTCAGTCATTAAACAGATCATATCAAGCGATTGATAAACATTAATAGTATATTATAGACCAGGCAGAGAAAGCACATATTATCGCCGAGTATACATTTTACTACCAAAATGTTTTTTTTTTCAAGCATACAATAATATTCAAATTATAAGACCCATAAGTCTATATAGAAAGGCTTCATATTAATACTACATACTTCAAAAGGCAAATTATTATTAACTGTACAGAAATAAAGCTAAAATGTCATGTCAGTTGAATCTAACCTAAAAAGTGATGTGGCAGAATCTTACAAAAATATTTAATTAAATTACTAAAAAAAATACTATATTAAACCCGGCGGTGAAAGCTTATTAATTGCCTCACACACAATCTACAGCCTCGGCTTTTAACCTATATATGTATGTAGGTAATATATTACCTATGTTAAAAGCCTAATTTATAAAGATTTGGAGGCTTGTTCTTTTTGGATCTGAAGTTAATAAAAAAATATCCTTGGCTGCACTTTATCAAGTTGATCAATTAAAATCTAACGTTGACCAAAATCCCAAAAGTGCTGAGAATATAATTTTTATACCATGTATTAGATATTTTTGTAAAGTTGAAGGCATAATATTATTGTACCAAGGATACAAAGAAGCAAATTATCTAGCCGTATCATGTGAGAAGAGACTATATTTTCAACTTCTATTTTAAATCCACTAGATACCATCAATTTTGTTTTTAATAAAGTTAAGGTCTATTTTAGTTCAGTGCAGATATTAAAAAAAAGCCTGTTGGTGTTACCATTATTGGGGTACCGAACCCAGATTTGTATTTGTCCACAATCAGACTATAAGTTTTATTGAACAGTTCACAGACCACCAAAGAAATGGACGGATTTGTTTACGTTTCGTTTGTGTATTTCTATCGTGTTTAAGTTAATTATTGAGTTTAAATACATTATTTTTTAGTATAAATGGTGCGACAGTGTACTGTTTGTAAAAAAACAAACCAAAGAAATCCAAATCTATCCTTTCATAGGTAAGTAATCACAATTAAATTAATCTATTTTAAAATTATCCCTATTTAACACCACGGCACTAGTTGCAGTCAGCTGTCATATTTGTCATATATGTCAGCTGTTTTGGAGTACGCAATACGTCACTGGAAGAAAACATAAAATTCTTTAGCCAATTTAACGCTTAGACTGTGACCGTTCGTTGACCGCAAACAAAGTATTGTTATTGAATGGCAATGCGCCGTCCATTTGTTTTGGTGGTCTATGGAACAGTTAGCATGAAAATCGCCATAATTAGAAAGTAAATTTACTTTACATAAAGTTCAATTGATAAAATATATTAATAAATTATACCAAGAATACACTTTAAGTACGCATTAAATTGTGTCGATCAGGGTAAAATCTCAAACTTTTACATAATACCAAAAGGTGGGTCAGTAAGTAAAGTACTTAAAAGTGGGTAATTTTAAATTACATTTCAGTTTATTAATTTCTGACAGGTTTTGAGAGTTCCTGCCCCCAGCGAGCGCCGCTGAGTTTGGGTGGAACTTTGATCAGGTGTCGCTTTCAAGTAATGACGTTGCGGTGATATAACTAACACGTTCGAACTCTAGTTAGTTTGCAAGGGTTTTTTTCTTGCTTTGCTTTATTTTATATTTAAACAGTACAAAACCGCATTAAAATAAAAATAAACATAATATTTAAATATAAAACCAACACTTAACCTACCATACATATACATATTTTGTTCTTAACATTCTTAAATGTATTTGTACCTTCTCAAGTTTTAATTTTAACATTCTTAAATGTTTTACACATTTCCGATCTTTTTAAGTAATTTAATGACGTAATCCAGTAATTATTTTTTTTACCTTAAAAATAGATCGGGATGTGCGAAATAGTCCGCGTACATCTCCAGGAGGGATCGCCTTTCCAATATAAAGGTTGGCAACACTACTTTGGTTAGGTCCATTCCAATTTTGACTTGAGACAAAAGATGTCTGATGACGGAACCGTGGTTTTCCGAGATGACGTCATCTCCGTCATTATCTTCGTATAAAGCTGAAAGAAAAATTAGTTAGCGCTAATTTCGGAAATTAAAAAGAAATAACAAAGAATATAAAAAAATCACCATAAATTTACAAAAAAAATACAAACGTTTTTTATTTTTCAAAATTTAAAAAATAATGGACAAATTTAAAAGATTAAAATAAATATTTAACATTATTTGACAGGCGGAGAAAGCGCTTATTTAAAACCGAGCTCAGTGTTCGCTGCCTAGGCCTTAACCGCTGCAGATCTAAGCGAGGCAGTTAATATGCTTTCTCCGCTGGTGTTGTACGAGTATATACTATTTTTTTTCAAGCGTTTAATAATTTTATATTCTCTTACATCATAGAGGAAGTAAAAGAGGGTGGTCAAATGCATTGTTGTATAAGTACATTTTTAAAGCGCCGCCATACATACCTGGATAAAAACTAATGCTAAGATAACCTCATATAGGTATAGAACCTGGCTTACTGGAAACTATAAAAAAAAGGTAATAACAATTTTTGAATCAAAGCAAATTAATTGATTAATTGAAATATACCTAATTTATCAAGCAAAATAATGAAATTAAACTTAAGTGATATAAATAATATGTAATACCTAATATTATAGTGTTATGAAAACAGTTTTTATTTAAGCAATTTAAATTTTTCTTAGATACTCCATAAAAATCGTCCTCATCGATATTATCCTCATATAATATTATCTTGTTTTTTGGTAGGGCGCCTTTAAAACATTTTTGCCGTTTTCATTACATGATTGGAAAATTAAAAAAAAACTTATTTTTGTAGCCATTTTTGTAAATTTGTACATACTATAAATTTGTACAACTTGGAGCAATACATTTGTATTCATAGGACCCCAGTTTTTCCATTCAAACGTTAATAAAACTTATTTATTAATCTGTTGAGATGTCAAACATTATTTATATGGTAATCTGTGACCAAAGGTTATTAACCATATAAAAAGCAAAACTGAAGTTAAGTAACTTAACCACTTGCCTTACTAATATTTAGATATAACTTTATATATGTTAATGGTATAACTTTATATATGTTAATGGTTCTGTTACCATTAGTTTAACCAGTTATGTCGACGCTTTAAACACTTAGACCAGGGTCGATAATTTTTGAAACCAAAAAAAATAACAGTAGGATGAAACCCATTGGAAAAGGAGAAGAATATAATAAAAATGAAAGGAAAAATAAATTACGGGCGATCTGACTTCGGGAAGTGGGAGGGGGGGGGTTTAAGGGTAAAAAATGGTTTATCTCGATTTCCGGCAAAACTACAACTCCTATGGAAAAAAGTTAAATGGCAAAGTTGTAGGTAATAAAAGGATCTACAACTTTTGTAATTACAATTTTTTTACATAACCTCAAAATTTATGTGAAAAATTCAAAAAACCAAGTTTTTGGTTTTTTATTTTTATCTTTTTCAAAAAAAAATTTTTTTCCACGAAATTTGGTGAAAACTTACCTTTTTATGTCCCAAATACACTGTAATTTATTTGATTTGAAATATTTATTATTTCGCCTTATTTTGACTTGATATCAAAAAAGCACCCTAATTTTCAATCGAAAATTCTCGCGTCAAAATATCAGCTTTTTTCAAAAAGTCGGTGTGCTTTTTGTTCGTTGAAATCTCTACTTTCTGATGGAGTAAAAAAAATATACATTACTATGGTAAATGTTCTCAGAAAATGCAAAAACTATTATAATGAATAACGAAAAAACTCGAATTCGAAAATTTATTTTAATTATTATGTACAATTTCATCAAAAAAATGTGATTGTTGCAATTTTTTTTAGTTAAAAAGTTTATTTATTAAATTCTAATAACATTTATGTCAGAAAATCTCATAAAATATAAAAATACATGTAAATCATACTATTGAATTTAGATACTTCATTCTGATTACGTTATTCATTATAATATTTTTTGTATTTTCTGAAAACATTAACCATAGTAATGTATATTTTTTTTACACCATCAGAAAGTAGAGAGTTCATTGAACAAAAAGCACACCGACTTTTTGAAAAAAGCTGATATTTTGACGCGAGAATTTTCGTAAGTAATATCATAAGGGCATTTAATTTTTCCGAAAAGAATCGAAAAAACACGTTGCTAAGTAATATTTTAACAAAAAGCATGAGTGCTGGTGGCAACAAAAATCCGAGTCGAAGAGGAGGATTTTTGCACCTGCACGAATGCATTTTGTTAAAAAATATTACTTAGCATTGTGTTTTTTCGATTTTTTTCACAGGAAAAATTAGATGCCCGAATGGTATTTGACAAGACTATTTCATGAGTAACAGTTAACAATTAAAATATAAATTGCAATTTTTGGTGACAACAGCTGTCAAGTTTTGCCGCGGGTAAACTCGAATAAACTGCTGACAGGTGCTGTCACACAGTTTTTTCACCTAGAAACCATTTGTAATTCAAAATTGCGCGTTTGTGATTGGTGGAAATAAAGACGAGGGAAATAGTCGATTGAAAATTAGGGTGCTTTTTTGATATTAAGTCAAAATAAGGCGAAATAATAAATATTTCAAATCAAATAAATTACAGTGTATTTGGGACATAAAAAGTTTTCACCAAATTTCGTGGAAATTTTTTTTTTTTGAAAAAGATAAAAATAAAAAACCAAAAACTTGGTTTTTTGAATTTTTCACATAAATTTTGAGGTTATGTGAAAAAATTGTAAATACAAAAGTTGTAGATCTTTTTATTACCTACAACTGTGATTTTTTCCATAGGACTTGTAGTTTTGCCGGAAATGGAGATAAACCATTTTTTACCCTTAAAACCACCCCCCCTCCCACTTCCCGAACTCAGATCGCCCGTAATTTATTTTTCCTTTAATTTTTATTATATTTCCCTCCTTTTCCAATGGGTTTCATCCTACTGTTATTTTTTTTCTCTTTTTACCATTTTTAAAGGCTTCGGCACTGGTCTAACTGTACAACAAGGCATTTGACCAGAGTGGTCAAGATAATTTAAATGTAATAAGTATAAGTCATAGAGAAAGTAAAAGAGAGTTTTTTACTTTTTCTATGACTTACATTTAAATTATCGAGTTTACGACATTTTGTCAGGTTTTACGTCTTACATATTATGTTATATTATAAATTATGTACATGAATTTATTCTACAGTAACCTGTAAGTTTACATTTTCATTGCTGATTTCGAGCTAAACGCGATAGATCGAACCACCCTTTCTATGTAATTTCAATGTATTTTCATTATTGTACGGCGGTGTATAATAATTTGACTTTTAAACTGCGTACAAATATAGTCTTTTTATATGGGCTTATGAGTTTTATAATATAAAAATTGTTATACGCTTGAAATAAAATCAATTACCATCATAGTCAAGTTCCTCGGAGTTGGTAATCCTAGACGCGATGCTTTCTTGTCTAGTGGACGGCGCACGCGCGCTGCTAATCGTCAAGATGCTCTCTTGTTTCGTAAGTGCGACGTTGTTCGCTGATTGGCTGTTGCTGTGGTCATTGTCGAACGATCTTAAGCTACTGAAAAAACAACAGAAAAACGAAAATTAAAAAACACAGTTTTTATGAAAAAATCGTTATATCCGAAGCTAGTTACCAATTAATAAAGAACATATTGTAGAATACTGTATTAATGCAAACATTATTTTAAGGAATCAATGTATATGGTTATAAAAAATTAAATAATAGATAAATGCGTGAACAAACAAAGTAAAGGGGTCAAAGGTAAAAAAAATAATGTTTTACAAATCACAGTTGGCAACAAGATTGTGAGAGTTTATTTATAAAATTGTTTTTATAATGTATCTAGGTGTCTCATTGCATAATATCAATGGAATAATAAACATTTTTTGTAATTACTACTTTTTTATATGTAGAACATAATATGTAATATTATTACAAAGATTATAATATAAAATATAAGAGACATTTAAAAAAATCAACACTTTCGAAAAGTACGGGAAACATACCACGAGAAACAATTGCATTATTAATTAATTTTAAAGTGTGATAGTTTATGATTCTCTAAAAAATAATGAAATTGTTTCTTGTGGTAAGTTTTCCGTACTTTTAGAAAAAAAAAATTTAGAAAATTTAATAATTTCTTTCGATAGTAAATATCCATAAAAAAATTTTTTTCTCAAACTTTAACAGTCTCTTTTAATTTCTTTATGCTGGCGCGGCGTGTATTTATGGGAGAATTAAGGCGTCAAAGGCGACGCCCAACACCCAGTGCGAGCTAATCGTATAGTAAAAAATTGGCCACCATGGTTTCTTTTTAAAATTGCTCTTAAAACTAAACCGTTGAACATTTTTAAATGAATTAAACCTTATTCAAGAAAGTACACCTTTCGATTATTTATTAATAATTTTTGTTAAATGACCGCCGTGGCTAACAAATAGTTACAAAATAAGGCAATGAGGATAATCCTAAAATGTAATCGCTATACGCATATCAAAACTATCTTAAATACTTTAAGTTTAATTAGCGTGAAACAACCTATTGTATTTAATTCTATGTTATTTATTTTTAAATTAAAAATTGGAGCTTTACCAAAGTTTTTAAGAAATAGATTATTTAGGGTAGATGGTATTCATGACCATGGAACGAGAAGAGCAAGTGATTTTTATATTGAACATTTTATTCCAGTGCAGACTACTAAAAATGTATTTGTTAATGGTCTAAAAATGTTTAACAAGTTGCAAAGTGATATTAAAAAATGTGATAATTTAAATTGATTTAAGTCACTATTAAGAATTTACATACACAGTAGGTATATTAATTGTTGTATAATAGCTTTTGCTAAATAAAGATTACACTGGCCGGCAGCCATTTTGGTGCAGGCTAGACAACAACTTTTTTAGGGTTTTGAGTACGCCGAATCCAAAAATTAACATCATTTTGCTCAATCAGCTCTTGTTTTTGCGATGTAGACAAAAAAAACCATTTTTTTTATATGCGCATGTGCATTCAAATAATTAAATATTTTTTTTAAACTTCTAATTTAAGCAAGAATAGTTGGTAATGTTGCTACGGGTCTTTATTAAACTGTAAAAAAATACCATATACATTGATAAAGGTATTCTCTTTAAAAATCTTGCTTTCATCGAAAGAAAATCGATTTTTTAGCCAAAATTCGGAAATTTTTAAAACTCAAAGTGATACAGCCTGATAAATTTTAGCCCGATTTAAATAAAATTTCTCTATTTATCTACTTTATTGTGATAAAATTTCAATGCAATCATTGATTGCCAATCAAATAAATATGGCAACACGGCAATAAAATCAACCAAAATTGGTTACTTCGTGTACCACTTAAATAAACTCCGTGAATAGCTTATAATATTCAGCCTATTTAAGTGGACAATTTTTGGGCCTAGGATTTTAGACCTGATTTTAAGTATGTCTAATAAGATGTCAAAAATATTATTGTTTTTTTTCTATTAGTTTTAGTTTATCAGAGTATGAGTAGAGTATCTGCTGCTGCTCTCAATACTCTACTATCATACACTCTGCCGTGCTAAGCTAAACCCCCGTATTTGCAATATTAAATAAAAGATCATTTTCATTGTTAAAAACAATAAAAACTATATTTTGTCCCTTATTATTAATAATAAGGGACAAAATATAGTTTTTATTGTTTTTAACAATGAAAATGATCTTTTATTTAATATTGCAGATACGGGGGTTTAGCTTAGCACCGCAGCACTACTCTCATTCAATTTTTGATTGCATTGAAATTTTAACACTATAAAGTAGATAAATAGAGCTACAAATATGGTAACTTTTATTTAAATCGCTGTATCACTTTGAATTTTTAAAATATCCGAATTTTGGCTAAAAAATCTATTTTCTTTCGATGAAAGCAAGATTTTTAAAGAGAATACTATTATCAATGTATATGGTATTTTTTTTAATTTAATAAAGACCCATAGCAACATTACCAACTATCCTTGCTTAAATTAGAAGTTTAAAAATATATACATTTGAATGTGCGCATATCGAAAAAAATGGTTTTTATTCTACATCGCAAAAACAAGAGTTGACTGAGCAAAACGATGTTCATTTTTGGATTCAGCGTACCTAAATTACCCTTAAAAGTTGTTGGTTGCCATGCACCAAACAGAAATTTTATTTTTGTCGGCCTGTGTTATTATTATTAACCTAAATTAACAAATGGATCTTTCAGTTATACATAATAGTTGTTGATTTTTTACTTGATGAAGCTCTATATTATTAATATATAAATAAAAACAACACCAATAAATGGGAACAGTATAGGCATTTAGGCGGGGTTAAGCGGCATAGAAAAAATGTTTTGTTTGTTTCAAAATTGTCTATAAACTAACAATTTAAACGATACCCAAGTGAAAACAGCCAACTTGGTAAATAACGGACACCCTAATGCACATGATTCGTGCAGTGCGAGCGGTCCTCAATATAATTGTATTTTTTAGCACTTACAAATGGAATCACAAAACGGTTTTTGGATTTTTTTGTGTTTTATTATATATACATTTACTCTATCAAGAAAAATGTAATTTAAGATGAATTAATGGTTGAAAATTGCATTTATTTACAAGAGTTATAAACAGGGTTCGCCTGATTTAAATCATTTGATTTAAATCACGATTTTTTTTATTTAAATCAATGACTTAAATCAGTTTAATAAAAAAGTTTCTAAAACTAAAAAACACTTAAAGATCTAAAACTAAAGCACAATAATATCTTGACAATATTTAAATAAATTTATATGCATAGAAAAACTGCTTATTTTGTTAAATAAAATAATAAAGGAATATACAAAAAAATATATGACAGTTGCGGACGGTGGTTTATGTGTTTATAAAGTAGTGCCAATATAATATTATTATAGTCAAGTTATTTTTAGCATTTTTTTAAAGTACACTTTATTAAAAAAAAGGCTTATATTTAAAAAAAAATATTTTTTGTTGATTTTCTTGATTTTTTTAATAAAAATCATCGATTTTTGATTTTTTTTAAATCATATTTTTTTAGAACTACATAAATAATTTTCGAACTACATAAATATATTTTTTTCAATAGTCTATTGTATCCATGTATGTAGTTCAGCTGACTCATCATACCCAACAATTTTTAGAATTTTACTATAAGTACCTATTGTACATAATATTTTAAATAAATAGCGCCGAAATATTTAATATTAAAAATAGGGAAGAACATTTAAAATATTTTTTTTTAACTTATTTGGTAGATTATTGTTACTTATTATGCGTATTACCTACTTACATGAAAAATTGCAGGTCCACTTCTCCAATTCTAACTCTATACTATAATACCTACATTATTACGTAGGAGAAAAATGTAAAAAAATGAAGTTTCAAAAAATGTTAAAATATTATAAGGTAATTAAATATCATTTTTGGGTTTTAATTTTAGGCGGCAATAATTAAAAAATATTGCATCAGTCTAATTATCTCAAAAAAATAAAAATAAATAATTCACCTCATATTCACGATAAAATGTCACTTAAACGATAATTTTTCCCTATAAAAACATCGCAAAACATTAACCAAATCAATTTAGGTTTTTTCTATCTAATACTAACAACCATGAAAGTCTTCGTAGTAGTTGCCGCCATCTTGGCATGCACCCAAGCCACCATGTACCCAAACGAAAACAAATGGGACATGAGTCAAAATGTCCACGAAATGTCCATGTGGAACAAAAAACCCTGGGTGATGATGAACCACGAACAAATGCCAATGTGGCAGCAATGGAACCATCATGAACAAGTGCCAATGTCGCAGCAATGGAACATGCAACAAGAAATGCCAATCTGGCAACAATGGGTGCAAATGAAACAACCAATGTGGCAACAATGGGTGCAAATGAAACAACCAATGTGGCAACCATGGGTGCAAATGGAACAAAACATGTGGCAACACATGCAATTAAACAAACAAGAACAAGTGCCAATGTGGCAACAATTGAACAACCAAGAACAAATGCCAATGTGGCAACAATGGAACAAGCAAGAACAAGTGCCAATGTGGTACAAACAACAATGGGGACAACAAAAACAAATGCCAATGTGGCAACAATGGAACAAACAAGAACGTATGCCAATCTGGAACCAATGGAAACAACAATTGCCAACGTGGCAACATAAACAAATGGCATAATTTTTTTAGATTTTATTTTGTTTCTTTAATTTAAATAAAAAATTGGTTTAACGCAATATTTTGGTTTAATTTTTATATTTAAATTTGACGAAAAATTTAAATTACAAAATTTACAATAATTATAATTACAGTTATTGTAAATTACCAACAACAATTTTCTAAAACATTCTTAAGCCGATTTTAATCAGTTAAAGTTTAAACCCTTGTAAAATCGCCCCCCTGAGCGAATTAAATTAAAATGTCAAGATAAAGATTAATACCAAACAAATATGTTTTTATAATTACATAATGATATCATTATTAGTTTTTTTATAGACTTAGGCCACTTTTTGCCATTTCAGTCCAATGCGGTGCATCGTGCTCTCGAGCGGTTGCCGCTGAGCGCGGTGATAATATAGTATGTTATGTATCAAGTTTTATAAACGCCATTTTAGTTTTATTAGGCACGAGTGAAGCTTGCGAGCGAGTGTTTAATAAAAACTAGTGTCTAGAGAAGTTTATAAAACGAGTTGCATACTATACTTTATCTACGCCAGTGAGATAAGAACTTCTTATCCCACTCATTTTGAGTGAGATAAGAAGTTCATTAACGCACGCGTTTTTCTCTGCTTTTAACCAATCAAATAAAAAAGTCAAAATGTCAAAATAACCCTAAATTAAGTCTTAGACAAAAATAATTACCGTTTATTTTTTCATTTAGAGGCGTAGATAAAAAATTGTACAATATACGTGTGATAACGCTTTATTAACGTACTTTTGCGATTGCCCAACTCGTGCTACGCACTCGTACGTTAATAAAGCTCTTATCCCACTTATATCGTAAATAACTATTATCTATTTTGCGTTCATAATGACTTCACCGCTTTCGCTGCTGTAATGAGATACTTTATCCCACCCAAAATTTTGATTTTATAGGTTAGCCATACTTTAAACAGTATAATATTTTTCATATTGGTTATAATATTTTTATAATTTTTCTAGTACTTGCAAGACTTTTCTGGGAATAAATTTTGTTTAACACCAAAGAAAATCCTTTTTTCTTCTTCAAAATTAACAGCCGCTTATTGTAAATAAGTAAATTAAGGACGGCATGGCGAATCGATTTTGACATTAACTGTCAAATCAATGACTGATACCAACTATCTATTTTTTTTTATAGAATTTTTGCAAAATAGATAAAATAGCATAAAGAACTCTTGTCATAAGACCTTTTGTCGCACTCGTCCATTACAAAACTCGCTCGTTTTATAAATTGTCCGCGTGCGACAAAATGACGTCTTTTGAGATTAGTTCTTAAATATACTATTATATACGACGAACAGAAATAGGAATTTAAAGCCAATTATAATCCTAGATATAATTAAGAAAGAATTGAACCTACACCTCGCCAAAGTTTTTTGTTTTAAATACCGACAGACAGCTGTTTCGACCTCTATGGGGCTCATCAGTGTCGGGCAACTTGATGTAGCGGAACACGCCCAAAACAAAGGACTACTTTGTCGAGGTGTAGCCTACACCGTGTAGCAGGGTTGCCAGATGAGGGGACTTTCCCCAAAAATGAGGGTATTTTTTTTACCACAACTCGATAAAAACTTTAAAATATTAAATCTCGAAGAGATGACATATGTATACTTGTAAAAGTATTTGAGATGACATATTTGAAACATTTATTTTAATTACTTATTATATGTATGTAAGTGGCGCCATCTCAAGTTAACGCACAGTTGTGTCAGTTTTTTACCAACCGAAACTATGTTAAATAAATTTAATGCTAGCATGTATGATACTACGAAGGCGTAGAAGGGACACAGCACAAAAAAAAATAATTAATTTTAAAATTTCGAGTTATAAGTCGAAATTTTACCCTAAAATTTCGAGTTATAACACGAAATTTTAAAATTTCGAGTTATAACTCGAAAATTTACCCTAAAATTTCGACTTATAACACGAAATTTTAAAATTTCGAGTTATAACTCGAAATTTTAGGTTAAAATTTCGACTTGTATCTGTATTTTAAAATTTCGAGATATAACTCGAAATTTTAAAATTTCGAGATACAAGTCGAAATTGTAACCTAAAATTTCGAGTTATAACTCGAAATTTTAAAATTTCGTGTTATAAGTCGAAATTTTAAAATTTCGTAATATAACTCGAAATTTTAAAATTTCGAGATACAAGTCGAAATTGTAACCTAAAATTTCGAGTTATAACTCGAAATTTTAAAATTTCGTGTTATAAGTCGAAATTTTAGGGTAAATTTTCGAGTTATAACTCGAAATTTTAAAATTTCGTGTTATAACTCGAAACTTTAGGGTAAAATTTCGACTTTTAACTCGAAATTTTAAAATTAATTATTTTTTTTGTGCTGAGTCCCTTCTACGCCTTCGTATGATACTGAATGTTTTGAAAATATTGATTTCTAACATTAAAAATTAGTTCGATAAGCCAAAGATACGTATTTTTATATATAATAAGTATTTTTAGAATAAAACGTATTAAGTTTATTTAATATATATTATTATGTAATAAAATATGTTTTTTTTTCTTTCTTTTTTTAATTTGGGGATTTATTCGTAACACAAACTATTTTTGGGGATTTCATAGAAATGAAAATAGTATATTATGTATCAAGTTTGATAAACGCCATTCTATATTATAATTCTAATTAAAAACGTCAAATTAAACAATCATATAAAGAATATATTGCAAAAATCGAACGTAAAAAACGATCCAAAATCCTTCTGGTCATTTGTTCAAAGTAAAAAAGGGTGTACTAGAATACCTAATAGTATGCATTATAATGGAAACTCAACCACCAATCCTGAAGATTTGTAAATATATTTGCTAGCTATTTTTCAAGTGTATTTCAATTACCGAATTTAAATAATACTGACGAACAGTTTTGTTTATTAAATAATATTAAAGTGGATTCAATAACTAAAACTGAAATTTTAAATGCAGTAAAAAAGCTAAGCAACAAGTTTACTAGCGGAGATGATTATATTCCAAGCTTTATTGCTAAGGATTGCAGCGTTGGACTATTGAAACCGTTACTGTATCTATTTAACCTAATTTTACGTACCGGTAAATTTCTCAAAATTTGGAAAACTTCAAAAATTGTTCCGGTCTCCACTGATTCTTCTAAGGTACAAAACTATAGGCCAATTGCTATACTTTTTAATTTTACAAAATTGTTCGAAACTATTATTTATAAAAAGATATACTTTCATTTAAGTCATAATATCAAATCAACAACATGGTTTTGTTGAAAAACGGTCAACAGTTACCAATTTAATATTGTTTACACAGTTTGCTAGTAATGTGCTTGATAATCATGGACAAGTGGATGTAATCTATACAGATTTTCAGAAATCCTTTGACCAAATAGATCATAATAGGCTTAAGATTAAATTTAAAAAATCGGATTTTCGGACCATTTAATATATTTTTTTTCATTTCTTATTTAACAGATAGAAAGCTGTATGTTTCTTACAATGTTCTAAACCGTTTACTCCAACAACGGGTGTTTCACAAGGATCCAATCTAGGACCACTACTTTTTCTTATCTTCATTAACGACCTACCAGACATTTTAACAGTTTACAATTTACTATTTGCTGATGATCTGAAACTCTACTTGGAAATCAAAACTATTAATGATTGCATTAAGCTGCAAAATAATTTGAATAGTCTATATAATTGGTAACCTTCATTTAAACATCAATAAATGCAAGAGAATGCTATACAGGGTGTCCGGGAAAAGGAGGTCAATCCGTTAACCATATATTCCTTGAGTTAAAACAATAAGACTTTCATAATACCATTTTTCAATTTATAGCTTCATGTTCGATATACAGGGCGACAAAGTTTGAAATTTAAAACTGATTTTTTGTAATAATTCCAGTAATTGATAAGATACTAAGTTTAAATTCGGTACAGTACTTCAACATAAATAGTTACATTTTTTGAGACCAACAAAACAAAAAACAATTGTCAAATAATCAAAATAGGGGGGTCCAGTTCTCACTGACTCCCCCTATTTTTTAGTACGTGCGCCAATGACTTCCAAACGGTATTTTTTCAGGTTATCATTTATTGTTAAAAAAAAATTGTCTCTTATAAAATTTTGATAAAATGATTTGTTTTAGAGATAATTTGTAAAGTATGGGTCAGTCCATATCAAATCAACCAAAGGTTCTTCCCCCACCATCTCCGATTTTGATCATTTTTGGTAAATTTGTTTACCTCACTCAAAAACTCAAAAATCCCATATTTGAATTTTTTTCGATAGGTGGTTTTTGTTTTATTGATTTTTGAAAATCAAAAAATTCCGATAAATTTGGGTCTTGCAAGTACTTACAAAAATGGCGATATCTCGTAAACTATTAAAAGTAGAAAGGTGAGTGATGGCTTATTTTAAAGGTCTATTAGAGAACTCTTTTATGATATATCACATGACCTAAATTTTTTCAAAAAAAAATTAAATTTTGAAAATTTGATATGGACTGACCCATACTTTAAAAATTATCTCTAAAACAAATCATGTTATCAAAATTTTATAAGGGACAAAAAATTTTCAACAATAAATGATTACCTGAAAAAATTTCGTTTAGAAGTCATTGGCGCACGTACTAAAAAATAGGGGGAGTCAGTGAGTACTGGACCCCCCTATTTTGATTATTTGACAATTGTTTTTTGTTTTGTTGGTCTCAAAAAATGTAACTATTTATGTTGAAGTAGTGTACCGAATTTAAACTTGGTATCTTATCAATTACTCGAATTATTAAAAAAAATCAGTTTTTAATTTCAAACTTTGTCGCCCTGTATATCGA